TGTATCCTTTTGAAAACTGAAAAGAAATATCGTGTCATTGTATTTGTGTGTATGTATCCTTTTTTTTACGAATTATTTAGTTAAATAAATAATATGAGGTGTCATTGTGTGTATTCTTTTTCCTTGTGTATGTATCCTATGGAAAACAATCTATCATATATCTAGGTGAATATTATCTTCCCATGTTCTAAAGTAACCCGACGAAATGGGGAGGACATGTGCCTACCCGAACTGTGGAGTGGTGGCTGGACAAGGCATCAAACTGCACAAGTTCCCCACAGACCCAGAGCGAAGAGTTGTGTGGTACAATGCCTGCGGTCTTTCACCTGGAACATCGCAGCGTTACCTGTACATTTGCTCCCATCATTTTGTTGGGGGGAGCGGCCCTAATTTTATGAACCCTGACCCTGTAGTGAGTCTCACAGTTTGATTTATTTAATTAGTTAAAATAGAGCATCATCACCCCTTACAGCTGTTACATGCGTTTTTTTCAGTCATGTGATCCTCTTACACCAGGTGCCCTCAGGGATGCACTTCTTGAAGTGTGTCTCATTAAGACACCTCAAGAAAAAAACTTATCCCCTCTTGAGACCACAGCATCCACCCTGGAAACCACATCATCCACTCTGGAGACATCTAATAATGACTCAACAGGGACAGGGCGGAAACGTCCAATGGAAGTTGTAAAAATTAGGACAGAGGCTGATGTTATCAGAACATTAGAGTTAGTCCTCAAAATCGTTGCTGTTCCTGAAAATGTAAATATTTTATGATTATATTTTTAACTGATGAAACCGAGACATTTAGAATGGCTCATTGACCCAAATTTAATCCCTTCCCTGAATAAAGGAGGACAACAGGAAACAAGCAGTTCTGAATATTCAAAATTGTGTGCAGTTTCTGAAAAACAACTCCAAGGAAGAGGTGAGGTTTCTTTAAGTCAATAAATATGGCATAAAATAAGAGAGTAACAGAAGTAAATAATGGTGAATTTCCTTAGAATATGATCATCTCTCCCGTGAAGAAGAGGACAAGGAGGACCCTGCAATTTGGAGATGACGAGGAAGATGGTTTTGATGGTTGTGAAGAGCCCTTCCTCACTCCTTTGCCTCCTACACCAGCCAAAAATAATGAGGTAACATCACAAGTATTACAATGTATTTTTTTTATTAAAATACAAGAAAAAATGGCAACAGATAAACTTATGATAAATACAGTAAAACAATCAAATAACCTAATAATCAAGAATCAGTGGTCGGAGATTACGGCGAGCCCTAGCAGCAAAATATTCTGGTAGCAATATTTTTCTATGACTAGATACAATTTTAGGTAACTTTTCTGACCAAAAATCTTTATCAAATAAAATAGGAATAATTAAAATATCTAATGGTGACCACACAACAAAATCACATTCATGCACTTCAATAAGAGCCATGTTCATTTGCACCTGAAAATAATAAGAAGAACTCTGCTTTAAACTGATGCTCCCATCACTTTCTCTTTTTAAGTAGTGAGCTGAGAGTTGTGCTCTTGTTAGGTGATTATCAAAATCCTGGGGCCGTATAGCTTCCATTGTAATGGGGCACTTAATTTCAAGTAACTTTGTTATTTTAAAATTACAATTGTCTTCAACATGACCCACAAACCCATCAGGGCTACATGAGAGTTGTGGGTATTTACCATTCACCCACATTCCAGTAGTAAGAACTAAAAGGCCACTTTCAAAAATCTTCTCCTGATAATGGTCTCTGGCGGTTGGTTCATGCTTTGTGCCATATTTGAAAGCAGGTAGATCTCTAATTTTGTCATCCATACCCCATACATGTTCTTGTAAGAAACTAATTTTTCCACTCCAAGTTGAGCGGTGAGAGAGCAGACCTACTATTCTTTGTCCTTTGGAGGCTACAGCCCTAAATCTTCTCTCCTTTTTCCATAAATCAGTGGATGCTTGTTCACTGGTGCCCTCTATTTCCTGAGGAACAGGATCTGGATACTTTTCTGCAAGGCTGATTAAAAACTCTATGCATTTCTCTTTAATATGATCATCATTTAAATTTTCATCTTGAGGGACAACTTTTGGATCTAGGAGAGTCAAAAACATATTTTTTTTACATGGGTTGGCTTTTTTTAATCCTTCGACAAAGCTGAGCAGGTTTTCTTTACTAATGGTGTCATGTTGAAATCTTGTTGGGCGAGGATCATACTGTGCTCTTTTTACAACCTCAAACTTCTTGAAATACTGTCGTTCGGATGCAATGCCTGGATTCCTCCTTGTTCCTCCTTTACCCCAGTATTGCCTTTGGTTTGTTGTTGTAGCAGCTGTAAAGGAACAATTCTGATATTAGTGTTTTTTCTTGTTTCATGCTTTCAGGTCGATGAAATAGCGGGTCTGATGTGCACTGAAAGTACAAGATCAATTGGCATTCAGTGTCAGCGTGCACCAATTGCTTTTTATCAGTGCTGGAGACTTTCTGAGAAAAAATTTCGTTTTCTCACAGGAGTGACACAGGACAATTTTGAAGTGTTGTATCAATTCCTAGGAGGGGATGAGATGGCACAGATTTTGAAATACTATTCTTACAAGAAAAAGACACCAACAAAGCCCATATCATCTTTCCTGGAACCAAGGGATAGATTATTTATGACTCTATTACGCCTGAGAAGAGGAGTGCCAATTGTGGACTTATCACATTTGTTTGGCATAGGCGTGGGTTCAGCCTGTGCGATTTGTTACACCTGGACTAGAGTAATGTCCCTGCAATTTCAAAGATTTCAGAGGGACCTATTTGTTACATGTGAAGTTCAGGACACTGATCCTAATCCTCTCTTTGAAAAATTCCCTAATCTGAGAGTTATAGTGGATGCAACTGAATTCAAGATTCAGCGCCCATTCCATTTCCAGATGCAGAGCAACACCTATTCTGAGTACAAAGGTGCCAACACCCTGAAGTACGTGATAGGAATCTCCCGCTCAGGTGCAATAAGTTTTGTATCAAAAGGATACGAGGGAAGCTGCTCTGACAAACATATGATACGGGAGTGTGGATTTCTAGACTTACTCCAGGAAGATGATGGTGTGATGGTAGACAGAGGTTTTGACATTGAGCCAGAACTCAATAAGATTAAATGCCACCTCTACATGCCTCCATTTAAAGGAAAGCGTAAACATGTCACTGCCCGAGAAGAAATGAAATCAAAGGCAATCACAAGTGTACGAGCATTTGTTGAGATAGCAAACTCAAGGATAAGAGACTTTCGACTAATACGTGGAGTGATTCCAATGAAACTCTTGCCAGTAATGGATGATCTTGTACTCATTGCTTGCATGCTAACTAACATGGGTGAAGTTTATGTACCACAAAAGGACAACAACAACAATAATAGCAATGCAGATGAAGAATTTTAAACTGTAATATTGTATTATTGTATAGTATTGACTAAATGACTGACTTTATGAATGTTTTGTGAAGTGCACTCACCACTTGCTTTATCCTGCTGCTCCTTGGATTAGAGAACTAAAAGAGTTTACAACAATTAGCCATTAAGACTGTAAATTTCATTAGCCAGAAAATTTGATTAACACAAATTACAACTAATATGTACCTGCCCAACCCAACTGTGTAAAC